TTTCAATTGCATTTGCACATACGTATACTGAATGAAATATTGATGGCGTGCATGCATACATTAGAAGAAGGAGACATTCTCTGAAACACGTGTTTCTCCTTCAGCCCTTCAGCGCTTTTCATTGAATAACAGGACCGATCATGCATGCATGCAATGATTCATGTGGGACCGACTTTCAGACTTCTCTTTACTTCTCTCCGCCAACTTATTTTAGTTCTTTTCTAAGAGAACTGTACTGTAGTATATCAACAAAGTTATCTCGCCAATCAATCTCGCTAATTAATCACTATCTATAATTTCAGTATAAGCCAAAATTCGATCAGTACAGTTGGTCTCTCTTCAATGCCATGTCACACATGCTTTGCATTGGTTATGGTCGTTTTCCACCGAACAATATCACTGAACTGTGGGTAACACTGTGTAGTATGACCATTGGCGCAACATTCTACGCTGTATTTATTGGCATCATGTCTACACTAATTATGTCAATAGATTCTTCAGGGAGATTGTATAAGGAAAAGGTAATGTAAGACATACGTTTTTTTAATCCGTTTTCATGCACATTTGTCAGTGTTAACACACATTGGCAAAAAGCAAAATTAAAAAATACACAAGTTATGATGCATATATAATTATACAAAGGGTCGCCAGACCGATGCGAGGGAAAAGAGGGGCATATTTTGGTGGAAGGGCACTCCAGACCTGTAGCGGTGCATAATAAAGGATGTTTGCAAAAAATCGTCAGTTGATATTTTTAAATTTTATCACCGAACACAATTTTATTGCATTTTTTGCAAAACATATCAAACAAATGAAACCGCAAACGAAAACTATGTAATATACTCGAATAATTCAAATGAATAAAGATGTTACCAAGCCGCTTGCGGAGAAATATTTGCATTTTTTTGTTGAAGTTACGGTTGCTCTCAATTATATAAAAAACATGAAAAATAGTTCTCACGCTTTGTAGCGGGGAAAAAAGTTACCTGTATGTGCGCCCATTTACACGCAAAGTGAATAAAGACGTAATGACATAACTATCATGGCGAGGATTGTCCAGTTCCAGGCGATATAGTACAAAGTGGGCATAACTTCAGTTAACATTGTAAAATTAGTTTATTATTAAAACATTATATTATTATTAGTTCATCAATAAAATCATAATAAATTGTCATTATAGTTAAACCAAGTTGGGGAATACATGCGTTATCGTAAGCTGCCATTACAAATCAGACGTCGTGTTCAGGATTTTACGAACATCGATATCATCATAAACTGTTTGACGAAGACGCCATTTTGAGGGAACTATCGTATCCATTGCGAGAGGTATGGGCACCAAAATTTCATACTTGGCGATCATGATCACTACTTAACAAATTAGATAGAAAATTTCGATTATTTCTTTGAATGGCTTAAGTCAAAGTCAAAGTCAAAATACTTTATTTACCGAGGGTAAAAACACCATTATTGGTAAACCAGTAGTTTTCATGATGGTCCTCAACGGTTTGACTCCGTTTGAACGTCTTTTCAGTGTCGGACGCATCTTCTGCAATTAAAGCTCTTATGTATGGTTCGTCTCATATTCGCGGTAAATATACTAGTCTTGAAAATTACTTTTTCTTTCGAAAGGAAATTCAACTACACAACGCTCGATCTTTGCTCACCTCAGTACCGTTCTTTGACGACGCTAATGAAGAATTTGTTACACTCTGTGTGACGTTACTAAAATTTGAAGTTTTCCTTCCTGGTGATTTCATATTCAAAAGAGGAAGTAAAGGAGATAGAATGTATTTCATCGTGCGAGGCATTGTTGATATTTTAACGACAGATGGGTTTGTTGCGACTAGCCTTACGGATGGCTCACATTTTGGAGGTATTTATGGTGGCCAGTGAACTGCAATAAAACCCTGAACCTATAGTTCAACGCTATATTTGGTTGAAGCCAAAAATTGAAGCAGAAAAAGATGAGTTTTCGACTCCGTTTCTCGTTCAATTTTTTTAAACGTTTGAATGCTTGTATTTTACATAGTTCTAGACACTCTTAGATAATTACACACTCTCTACGTTTGTCTCAAAAGTTCATAGACTGCTTTCAAATTTTGCTTCGAAGATGGCGGCCAAATTAGCGTTCCAGGTTTTATTACAGTCCACTGATGGTGGCCTGTGCGAGACATACAGTCAACAATAAGTCATACATTAAAAATAAACATTGGCTTGAATCAAATATTCATTTTTGTCTCATAAAATATTACATTTCGCGTACATTTGCGTTGCTGTGAACAAAATGCGTTGCCTGCCTCGTACCCAGGCGCTTTAGTAGAAAAACATAACGTTGCATTCAGCTGTTATATAGAGGTCAGCTTAAAAACGTGAGCGCGCATTGGTGCTTGGGAGTGTTTTTGACAAAGGAAGCTTCCCCGCTAAACAAAGCTCCCCAAACACCCCCGCGCGCACGTTTTTTCTCAGCTGACCTCTATATAATAATCGTTATATGTTTTTCTACTAAAGCGCCTGGGTACGAGGCAGGCAACAAAATATTAATATTTCATATAGCTTAGCATGTAATCTGGTCTATATTTGCTCGTATATATTGTTAGAGGGACAGTTACGTTCATTTGAGAGCATTTTAACTTGTTTTGAGCAGTTCTTTTTGACCGTCAGTGTATATGGAAAGGATGGCAACTCTTCTTGGGTAATAGATATGTATGACAACTTTGAAGAATTTTCAAGTCAGAAAACCACACAAATGTTAAAGTATGCTCTATTATATTCCAAATATTCCAATATATATATGTATCAATCAACTGTAAATAGATTTAATTTAGATTTATGTGTGGTCAAATGATTCCATAGATTCCATAGATGCAAGTGTAGTAAATGTTTCTTTAATGAAAGCCAAATATGGTAACCAAATGTAAAATGAAATGTTATCCGCCCTAAAGAGATTATCATGTAACCACTTATATATAGATGTAATTTTCCTTGTATACATCAGAGTGAATAAAACTGTGTAACCCTAAAGTTGTGCTGTGAATATAAAGGAGTGGCAAATGGCTACCCAAAACTCAACAGGTTATGGGCCCAGGAGAGCTCTGGTCTTCGATGGAAACGAATCGAAGTACGAATTATGGGAGGTAAAGTTTTTATCATTTATGCGGATCCAAAAGCTTTACAATATTTTTGTGCCTAGCAGCGATGAGCGTGAGCTAGATGAGTCGAAGAATGCCGATGCCTTCGCCGAACTTGTACAGTGTTTAGACGACCGAAGCTTGTCCCTAGTCATAGGGAGGCAAAAGATGAGGTCGAAAGGCTTTAACCGTGCTGAGAGAACACTATCAAGGAAAAGGAAAACCCAGAATTATAGCTCTGTACACTGAACTTCACTGAGAAAAGGAGAAAGCGAGTCCACAACGGACTACATCATACGCGGAGACCGCGCGACAGCGCTGAAAGCAGCAGAGGAAATAATAAGCGACGGTTATTAATTGCAATGGTTTTGAAAGGCCTTCCTAGGAACTATAAAACATTCTCTACTGTGATAATCCAACGAGAAAAGCAGATGACATTCAGCGAATTCAAAATAGCCCTGCGAAACTACGAAGAGAGTGAAAAGAGTTGCCATGTACGGAAGGCAAAGAACGTGATGTTGCCGCCAAGACGAAATTCGACGGAAAATGCTTCAAATGTGATAAGAAAGGTCATAAGAGTTCCGAATGTTGGCTAAAGAGCGAAAAATGGTGTGCCAAATGTCGAACCAAGACCCACAATACAAGAGATTGTAGAGCCGCAAAGAAGGACGCAGCGAAGCTTATCAACGGACAAGTGAAGAATCAAGATTTGGATGAACATTCATTCGCATTTACGTTAAAAGATGGTAAAGGTAGGAGTACGAAGAATTCGAAGCTTCTCGTGGACACTGGGGCGACCAGCCACATAATTAATGATAGGTCTAGGTTTGTAAGCTTTGACAAGAACTTTGATCCGAACAGTCACTTTATAGAACTTGCCGATGGGAGCAAGGCTAACGTAGTTTTAGGGAAGGGAAATGCAATGGTTAAATTGTTTGATGTAAGGGGTAATGTACAAAATCTAATGCTAAGCGACGCACTTTATATACCGTCCTACAGTCAAAATATTTTTTCAGTTTCGGCAGAAATAGGTAGAGGAGGATCGGTTGCTTTAGGAGAACAGGTAAGTAAATACACTACAGCTGAAGGTCAGGTATTTGAGATAGAAGAGAGAGAGCGTTTGTACTATTTAAATAGTATCTCTTCTTCGTGTAACAATGCTACCTCCATTAATGAGTGGCACAGGATTTTAGGCCATTGTAACTTTGGAGATGTGCGTAAATTAGAGCAGGTAGTCAAAGGTATGAAAATCATAGACCACAGCGAGAAAGATTGTGAAGTATGCATTCAAGGAAAGATGTGTCAGAATAGAAACCGAGAGCCAGATCAGAGAGCTAAAGCACCTTTAGATTTTGTCCACTGTGACTTGGCAGGGCCAATTGAGCCCGTTGCCAGAGACGGATTTAAATATGCATTGTCTTTTATAGACGATTATACAGGTATCAACATGATATATTTCTTAAAGCGAAAGAGCGACACTTTAGAAGCCACAGAAAAATTTTTGGCCGATGTTGCGCCTTATGGTAAAGTTAAAAGGATACGAAGCGATAATGGTGGTGAGTTTACGAGTCAAGAATTTAAATCTCTCTTACGAAAGCAGTCAATAAGACACGAGACGAGTGCCCCGTATTCCCCTCACCAAAATGGAACTGCAGAAAGAGCGTGGCGAAGCCTTTTTAGCATGGCTAGGTGCTTGCTATTGGAGGCAAAACTACCAAAACGGTTGTGGACCTACGCTGTGATGGCTTCGGCCTACATAAGAAATAGATGCTTCAACCAACGCTTAGAGAAGACACCATTTGAGGCGTTGACAGGTAAGAAACCAAATTTAAATAATATGCATGTATTCGGCACAACATGCTATGCTTTTTGCAGAACACCAAGAAAATAGACGCAAAGAGCCGTAAAGGTATATTTATAGGGTACGACAGAGGTAGCCCATCTTACTTGATATACTATCCGGAATTAGACAAGATAGAAAAGGTACGTTGTGTCAAATTCATTGACAACTTCCAAGGCAAAGACAATAAACTCAACGATCTTGATGAGTTTGTACCCGACAGAAAACCTTCGAGTACTAGCAATGAAAACCCCAAAATGCCGAGTACAGTTGAGGAGAGCTCGAATAATCTCGAAACAATCAGCGAAAATGTAACAAACAACACCGAGGTGGTTGCCGAGGGAGATAGGTATCCAACAAGAGTTCGCAATAAGCCAAATTATTTCGATCAAAGCAAATTAGATGACACATTAGGTGAGAATGTTAATTACACTGTTGATTATTGCTATAGAGTTGCGAACATTCCAGTGTGCTATAAACAAGCACTTGAGTTGCCTGAGGCAAACAAATGGCAAAAGGCAATGGAAATTGAGATGAAAGCGTTGACAGATAATGACACTTTTGATTTAGTACCGCGACCTAAGGATAGACAGGTAGTGGGGGCAAAGTGGGTTTACACTATAAAAACAAATCAAGAGGGAGAGGAAAAATATAAAGCTAGATTTGTAGCGAAAGGGTATTCTCAAGTTTCAGATATAGATTACCAAGAAACATTTGCACCAACTGCACGCATGAGTTCGATCCGAATGTTATTACAACGTGCCGTGCAAAACGACATGATTATTCACCAAATGGATGTGAAAACAGCATACCTTAATGCGCCAATTGACTGCGAAATATATATAGAACAACCTGAAGGTTTTGAAAAGCGAAAATAGCGGTGAAACGTTAGTTTGTAAGCTGAAAAAGTCGCTATATGGTCTAAAACAAAGCGGCAGGAATTGGAATAATCTACTCCATCAATATTTGATTAACGAAAACTTTATTCAATCTCTTGCAGATCCATGTGTGTATGTGCGTACAATAGATGATGAACGATGTGTGATCGTAATCGTTTGGGTAGACGATATCATAATCGCCTCGAGTGATTCAAATTCACTACAGAGCGTGAAAAAGTCTCTTAAAGAAAGGTTTAAAATGACCGACCTAGGGATTCTAAAATGGTTTTTAGGCACTGAATTTCAATGCAGTGAAAACACAATTAAAATGAATCAAACCCGGTACATTGAAAAGATTCTTGAGAAATTCAAAATGACCGATTGTAAGCCAAAGCCGACGCCGTGTGAGTTAGGAGTAGACAAAGTTTTGGAAGTGGAATCTCCTGAAATGGAGGACCCCGGGCTTTATAGAGCTATAGTAGGTAGTCTCATATATGTAATGACTGGCACTAGGCCAGATCTGTGTTACATCGTGACAAAATTGGCACAGAAAATGTCAAAACCAACCCAGGCAGATTTAACTAAGGCAAAGCACGTTTTGAGATATCTAAAAGGTACTTCAAAATTTGGTCTAACGTTCACAAAGTCCATTAACCCCCTCATTCTTCAAGGTTTTTGCGATTCAGATTGGGGAGCATCTATCGCAGATAGACGGAGTATAACAGGATACAACTATCAACTAGCGCAAAAGGGACCGTTGATATCATGGAAGAGCGCAAACAGCCGACAGTGGCACTATCCACCTGTGAAGCGGAATATATTGCATTGACAAACGCGATGCAAGAAGCAAAATTTCTGAAACAACTCTGCATCGACATGAAGGTAAGTATACATGAAGGTAAGGCTTTCATAAAGATAGATAACCAGGGAGCGATGAATCTGGCGAAGAATCCTATTCATCATCAGAGAACAAAACATATAGACATCAGGTACCATTTCATTAGGGAAGAAGTGAAGGAAGGACGAGTTAGTTTAGAGTACGTTTCAACAGAGGAAAATATTGCAGACATATTTACAAAGCCAGCCAGTAAAATAAAATTAGAAAAATTTAAAGAGACCATATTAGGTAAGTATACATAGGTTCATAATTGCGCATATAATTTTAAAGCGATGGCCCGCCCTGCTGCACGCCATCAAATAAATAATTTACTATAGAACATAAAGAGCAAGTGGGGGTGTTAAAGTATGCTCTATTATATTCCAAATATTCCAATATATATGTATCAATCAACTGTAAATAGATTTAATTTAGATTTATGTGTGGTCAAATGATTCCATAGATTCCATAGATGCAAGTGTAGTAAATGTTTCTTTAATGAAAGCCAAATATGGTAACCAAATGTAAAATGAAATGTTATCCGCCCTAAAGAGATTATCATGTAACCACTTATATATAGATGTAATTTTCCTTGTATACATCAGAGTGAATAAAACTGTGTAACCCTAAAGTTGTGCTGTGAATATAAAGGAGTGGCAAATGGCTACCCAAAAACTCAACACATCGAGTTCGCCGGAAAACGACTAATTCTACCATGGTCGAGTTCGCCGGAAAACGATTAACTCGACCATGGTCGAGTTCGCCGGGAAAACGACTAACTCGACCATGGTCGAGTTCGCCGGAAAACGACTAACTCGACCACGGTCAAATTCGCCGGAAAAAGACTAATTCAACCATGGTCGAGTTCGCCGGAAAACGACTAACTTGACCATGGTCGAGTTCGCCGAAAAACAATATGTCCAATTGGCCGGAAAACGACTAATTCGACCAGGGGATGTAATCATCCCACTAATTAATGGGATCTATGTTCACTGCGCATGTCAGTCAAATTTGCAACAAGCTTAATTAACAAGCTGGGAGCTCCCTTCTCAAATGTGAATCCTTAAAATTAGGAATTTTGTAAAAACTATATTAACAACTTGTACTATATATATTACGGAAATCTTTAGGAAAACTGGGAAATATATCAAAAACTTCCATAGAAATCTACAATCTCAAGCAGCTGGTAAACTTGTTGTTAAAAACAGCTGTTGCTAAGTCAAGTTTATTTATTTTTTTATCGATTTAAAACTCATAAACAAGCCATGAAGCTCATCGCTGTGTATATATTGAAAGATGAAGATAATTTCAAAAGGTAGGGTTTGTATTTTACCGCATTTCTAACCGCTCAAATTCGTAGGTGATAAAAGTTAATGCCTTGTAATGTTGTGAACTTTTCATTTGTAATAAACGATTTCTTTATTAAGTGGTTCTTTGTGCAAATAATATGAGCTATAATCCACAGTTTTAATATAAATTGACAAGCTACAAGTATGATTTAAAGCTCTGTTAGATTTAAAGCAATCTTTGTTTGCAAAATACGAACTACAGTCGCGGTAAAATGCTTCAAGTATAAAGCTTGATATTTGGCTCGGCTTTTGGGCAGTTTGTATTCTTCTGGGGCCGGTTGTATCAAGCCCGTTTAGCTTAAACGGTGGATAATAAAGCTCAAAATAGAAAGCAAGTCTATCGTTTTATTCAACAAGCAAACAAAATGTTTTTAACCTTAATACAAAGATACTGTTTACAACTACATATTCAGTGCATAATATTCAAGTTGACTCATTCAAGAGAGATGTAAAAGTGTTATTTAACTTTGACTTATCCACCGTTTAAGCTAAACGGGCTTGATACAACCGGCCTCAGATCGCTTTTGATAAAGCCTAATCTTCTCTGAGGGAAAGTTAAGCTTCATTGCAACGCAATTTGCAAAGGCGTAGGTTTAATTTTTGCCTTGGAAACTTGTATGATTACAAACTTTCCTCAAATCTTTCTGGCTTTAAAATATGTATAGTCAGTGGGCCTCGATTGATACCTTGGAAATTGGCAAGACTTCTCACCGCAATTCTCAATACTTTGGCTTCAAATTTGGTGAGAAAAAAGCTTTATAAATACTCAACAAAATATGTCTTGCACAAAAGGTCTGAAGCTTGCACACAATCGTCTGAATTAATAACCTTGTTTATACTTAAGCTTCAAAATGGCCATTTCACAGCTGTCAGATGTGTATGATGAGCTGTCAAAAGATTGTAGAATGCGTATCCGGAAGAAATATTGAACTTTTTAAAGTTATTCAATAGTTTTCTCTTTGATAGCGATACAGAAATGCACAATTGGCAAGTGTCTATTTGGCCATCTCTGTAAAAGTTGCAATCTTAACATTAACTTTAATTTTCATTCCAGGTAATTTTGGCTGACGATATTATGAGGCTGCCAGCACCGTTACGAAGATTCCTTGCTGAATCAGAAGATGAGGTCTACTTTCTTATCCGCCTGTTGATATTCACCGTCAATGTCATTGCGTGGATATTTTCGATTTTCTTCATATGCATTGGAATATGGATTCTTCAGGAGAAAAATAATCTGGGTGTTGACAATTTGAGTTCAGACCCGGCCGCAGTGCTGATTGCGATTGGTACCATATTGTTCCTCATCACCTTCACCGGTTGTATCGGCACTTTGAGAGAGAATTTGTTTCTTTTGAAAGTGGTGAGTCAGTAGACATCTCTTTAATACAGACATCTCTCTAATACAGACATATTTCTAATACAGACATCTTTCTAATACAGACATCTCTCTAATACAGACACCTTTCTCTAATACAGACATCTCTCTAATACAAACATCTCTCTAATACAGACATCTCTCTAATACAGACATCTCTCTAATACAGACACCTCTCTAATACAGACATCTCTCTAATACAGACATTTCTCCAATACAGACATCTCTCTAATACAGACATCCCTCTAATACAGACAACTCTCTAATACAGACATCTCTCTAATACAGACATCTCTCTAATACAGACATCTCTCTAATACAGACATCTCTCTAATACAGACATCTCTCTTATACAGACATCTCTCTAATACAGGCATCTCTCTAATACAGACATCTCACTAATACAGACACCTCTCTAATACAGACACCTCTTTAATGCAGACATCTCTCTAATACAGACACTTCTCTAATACAGACATCTCTCTAATACAGACATCTCTCTAATACAGACATCTCTCTAATACAGACATCTCTCTAATACAGACATCTCTCTAATACAGACACTTCTCTAATACAGACATCTCTCTTATACAGACATCTCTTTAATACAGACATCTCTCTAATACAGACACCTCTCTAAAACAGACATCTCTCTAAAACAGACATCTCTCTAAAACAGACATCTCTCTAAAACAGACATCTCTCTAATACAGACATCTCTCTAATACAGACATCTCTCTAATTCAGACATCTCTCTAATACAGACATCTCTAATACAGACATCTCTAATACAAACATCTTTGAAGACAATCATCTCTCTATAACTTTCTAATATGTGGATAATCTTTTCTTTGCAGTACTTGGGAATGATTGTAGTCCTGTTTATAATTGAAATTGTGACGGGTCTGGTTGCATTTCTATATGCCAACAAGGTAATGGTTACTACAGTACAAAGTAAGATTGGAATATGAACTTTACGTATTACCCCCAAGAGTCTGTTTAATGTTCTTGGTATTTTCTTAGACAGAGGACAGAGTGTTTGAGGTAAAAAAAAGGTATTATGGAGTACCATGATGATCCTGACTCAAAATTCCTGATGGACGAATTGCAGAAGAAATTTGAATGTTGTGGGGCCTATTCCTTCAATGACTGGGAGCACAATGCTTATTTCCAGTGCTCATCTGAAGATGTCCTGGCTTGCGGAGTCCCGTTCTCTTGCTGCATAACTGTAAGTTACTAGGAGGCATTAGCTTGCAATGCACCCAGATGTGACCTACTTTAGTATTTTACTCTGTCTAATGTCAGATGATTTTACTCATCAGTGGAAGAGTACTGTCAGTTAATAAGTTAACAAAACTATCTGTCAGTGTCTCTTGTTAACCCATTAGCTTGCAATGCACCCAGATGTGACCTACTAAAAATAATATATTCACATAAACTGTAGGTGGGGAAAAACAGTCAATGTGGTTTTGGAATCAGAAAAAAAGATGTAAGTGTAATCTGATTGGGTTACTGAAAATCTAAAGAAACTTGCTGTTTGATCTAAAGCAAAATCCCCCCTTGTCGTCTGACCATTAACTATATGATAATGTGATTTATTTCAAGGAAATTGAGGCAAAGCATGTTGTGTACACAGATGGTTGTATTACCAAGCTAAAATGGTGGATTAATGATTATCTGCACATCATTGGAGCACTTGGCTTCGCTTTTGCCTGTGTACAGGTATTGTACTGTATGATAGAGTTATCCAGTATAATAAATTAGTTTAGTTTAGGTTTCCTCCTGTAGTAACACTGGATCAATAAGAGATGATCCTTACTGGACCTCTAGGAAGAACAGTTTAGAACTGATAGAGTTATCCAGTATAAATAAAGTTAGTTTAGGTTTCCTCCTGTAGTAACACTGGATCAATAAGAGATGATCCTTACTGTACCTCTAGGAACAATTAGAAACAGTCTAATTACTCGTTTTTTTCCAGCTTTTCCTAATTCTGATTGTGAACAAACTTATAATGGATCTTGAAGAGATATCAAAGACAACTGGTCATAAAAACGAGCTCACGAATTCGAATGAAATAACTAGTGGAGTCTAGCTGGAAATTCTTTTCAGCCCGACAAAACTTTGTCATCAGATCCGGCGACATCCAAGCCCAAGGTACGAAGCGTTGTGTGCCGAAAATGTAGTTTTAATGATTGTGATGATTCCCCAGCTTGGTCCAAACACGGTGATAATGCTGAAAACCTACGCGATGTTTTCTCTGTTGGTATATTTGTTCGACGGTCCTACTAATAACCGACAACAACCGACAACAAGCTAAAAATTACCGACAGAAAGCTTATTATCATCGACAACGATGAAATAGACGCTAATAAAGGATCTCTTCGACTATATTGGTAAAAAACACGAATTTCCCGTCCAAAATTCCCGTCTTGTTTTTGTATGCTTCCACTGAGATGATTCCTGGCTGGTTTCCTAAACGCCAAATTGGCGTTTTTCAACCTGGTTTTGCCAACCTAATTTGCTATTTATAATCGTGCTTTTTAGTCAGAGAAATAATGAACAATTAGGAACCAATTGATAGCACGATTAACACTATCTGAAAACGACTTCATTCAATCAAAAAAGAATCGTAAAACTAGCAAAATCTTGTGAAAATGAAACGACAAAGACTTTCTTTCTGACTTTCAAGTTTGAAGCCATATAAGCCTACATTTACAAAGAGTTGGCATTCGCTTCGCTGACAAACACTTTGCTAACGTTACTCAGATCTTTGGTAAACTTTCTGCCATATTTTTTTTGGCAATTTATCCAAGAAATACTCTTCCAAGATGGCGGCCGGGTTATTAACATTCACTAAACATTGGTAAAGTCCGAACATTCAAAGATTGATTTTGAGAAATATGGTTGAACTGCATTCATTGATTTCCTTCCTGTGGGTCTTGCAAGAAACTGAGCCAATAATCGATTAAATCGTCGTTTGCCGCAAGATATATTATATAATATAAACTAGCTTTAAGTCTTAAGATAAATAAAAATATGTAACATGATTTTGTAATATATAGATGTTAAAATTCTTTCAAATTAAAAGAAATAAATTTTCAGTGAACTGATTTTTCTTGACAGTCGATAAATTTCTATTACCATAACACCAGGCAGTATTTTGAGGTATATTTTATTACACAGCAATTGTTTTAGGGTAAATATTTATTCGTATATATTGCAAATGAAATCTATAATTCATTACAAATATTGTACATCAGTGAAAGATATATATTTCTATTTTTGAACACCAAAACCTCTGTTTAAATATATGATAAGTCAAATCAAGATACACTGTATTCATATAAACAAAGTTATCAAACTCTGATCCGTCAAACAGCCAAGCGGTCCTTTGCGAATTTTATTTGGATCATATGAATCCTTGACTCAGCGAATCCTCGACGAAATTGTCCCGGGTAAGCAATAATTTTTATGAAATTAAATATCGTCGCAAGAAAATATTTCCTGCGTGAAAAGTCTTTAAATTGTTTTTAAATCTATAAACAATTTATTTCTGATTAAGCGCAAAAAACTAATATATATTATCTAGGTATTTGTTGACAAAACGTATTCGACACTTCACGTGGAGATTTGTGTGTTTTCATGTGTACATAACCTATATAATTTCCCTGTTCGTTTTTCTTATACAATTAGTTCGATTTTTTAAATACCAAGTGATCCCGCGCATATATTTTAGCCAGTCAACCGCTGGCTCAGAAGGAATGTCAAAATAGAAAACCATTCTGCAGAATTTAACCAAATATATCCTATGTTATTCTTTATGAAACCATTCGAAATTTTGTGATTATGTTTAGATATAAGAACTATAGCTTTGATATGAATTTGAAACCGAAGTAAAGTGTGTTTCAAGAGATATTAAATTGTTTCAACCGAGAAATGGTTTTTATTTGACAACTCGTCCCGGTCCTTTCCCGCCATTTTAGATCACCCGGTAAGATTGGTCACGTGGTTAAGCTGGGTTTCCGTTATTTCCATTGTGGGTAACCATCATCCATTTCGCACTCGCTGGTCCAAAACCTTTTAAATCTTCGCTGCCTTCAGTCGCTTCCTTCAACTTTTCCATCCAGGATTCGTAGAATTCCTCATACTCTCGTATTAACTGACGAACTTTGTCAGTTTTCTGCTGAATCAGCTCGATTTGAGCACGGTCTTCATTTTGCATTGGTGGGTTTTGAGAGAGTCTGAATCCAATCAACGACTCAAAAATACTTTTCTTTTCTTTTTTTTTCTTCGCTTTCGGTGCTCTGTTCGTTTCTGAAAATAAATTAATTTCATAATGTTGCATTCAGTTGCTATATAGGGATCAGCGAACATTGCATTCAGTTGCTATATAGGGATCAGCGAACATTGCATTCCGTTGCTATATAGGGATCAGCGAACATTGCATTCAGTTGCTATATAGGGATCAGCGAGCATTGCATTCCGTTGCTATATAGGGATCAGCGAACATTGCATTTAGTTGCTATATAGGGATCAGCGAACATTGCATTTAGTTGCTATATAGGGATCAGCGAACATTGCATTTAGTTGCTATATAGGGATCAGCGAACATTGCATTCAGTTGCTATAGGGATCAGCGAACATTGCATTCAGTTGCTATATAGGGATCAGCGAACATTGCATTCAGTTGCTATGTAGGGATCAGCTAACGTTGCATTCAGCTACTATATACGGATCAGCTAACGCTGCATTCAGCTACTATATAGGGATCAGCTAACGTTGCATTCAGTTGCTATACAGGGATCAGCTAACGTTGCATTCAGCTACTATACAGGGATCAGTTAACGTTGCATTCAGTTGCTATATAGGGATCAGCTAACGTTGCATTCAGCTGCTATATAGGGATCAGCTAACGTTTGATTCAGCTACTATATAGGGATCAGCTAACATTGCATTCAGTTGGCTATATCAGGATCAGCTAACGTTGCATTCAGCTACTATATAGGGATCAGCTAACGTTGCATTCAGCTACTATATAGGGATCAGCGAACGTCGCATTCAGCTACTATATAGGGATCAGCTAACGTTGCATTCAGTTGCTATATAGGGATCAGCTAGCGTTGCATTCAGTTGCTATATAGGGATCAGCTAACGTTGCATTCAGCTACTATATAGGGATCAGCTAACGTTGCATTCAGCTACTATATAGGGATCAGCTAACGTTGCATTCAGCTACTATATAGCGATCAGCTAACGTTGCATTCAGTAACTATATAGCGATCAGCTAACGTTGCATTCAGTAACTATATAGGGAACACTAAGCTATATTAAAATTTGTCTGTCTGTTTGTTTTGTCTGTTTATTTCTTCGTCTATTTATTTGTTTGTCTGTTTATTTGTTTGTCTCCCTGTCTGATTATTTGGTTATTTACTTTGTGTAGTTATTTCTTGTTTGGTTTGTTTTCATGCGCCAAAAAACTTGCTGCGTACGCCAAAAACTTACTGCATATAATTTTGGAGATAAAGAACTCCCAAATTATTCCAAGCAAGAAGAAGCCTCCTAGAAAGCCAGCAAGTGCGTACAAAATCATATGAAAATCTTTTTCACCCAAGAATCCTTGCGAGGCGATCAATTCCTCGCTTACGTCATCTGTCGGATTCTACGAATAAAACAACGAGAATGATTGGTGGAACAACGATGAATTTCGTTTCAAACTAATCGGGAAATTTTGTTACGTTTTTCAAGCTAAGCCAATCAGAATGCCTGAATTTTTAATACTTCATGTAAAGTGTTGAATTATTTGTTTCGTTTACGATTGTAACAAAGCGTTCCTTTACCTTTAACGGATTTAAATTCTGTCGAATACTTTCAAAAATATCCTGGGGATTGTTTTTGATGTATCTTATAAAGCACTGGGTAAAGTTCTCTGAGTTTGGTGCTAAGGATAGGCCATAGTTGATTGGTAGTTCTTCGTTTGCCTTGACTCTAACTGGTTCACGTTTGATGACTTCATGGTAATAGGATAAGAGATAACTGTCCATTATTGCGACTTCCAGTGATGTTGTATCGACCAGAGCCTCGACGACATCCTTTGGTGTGTCAAAAGCTGTGACGATAGAAAGAAATACGAATAACGTCGCGTTTCAGTTCATTCAGGGCTCACATTAATTTAAGTTTGAACTGACGTGGCTACCCTCATTAAATAAAGTTGATTTGATATGAATAAAAATTTCAAGTCTTCCCAAGTTGACGAGACAGGAGTGTCCTACTCTATCTGTGTTTTTAGTAAAAGTTTCAAATATCCTACTTTTGATTCCAGCGTTCATTCCAGTTCCAATTCTTTCTTCTTGACTACCATCGACAGCCCCCATCTGAAAAAATAGAATTTCTTTCTGTGCTAACAAGATCAACAGCTAAGTTTTTGGTAAAGATGTGCGTAATGTTCATTCTTAGTTTCGATAAAGGTGTGATTCGGGTCCTACCTTCGAGCCGTGGACAACCAAACGATACTCAATGCTGGCTGAAAGCGACGCGGTCACCATTGCAGTTAAAATGGCGATGATACTCATTCCAGTTATAATCCAAATCATGCAAAACAGGCGACCTAATATGGACCTTGGTGCGCGGTCACCGTATCTAATAACATCAGAGAAACGTAAGAATATAAGCTAAATTTTAAACCAAATTTATCCCTGAATCTGGAACGGAAATCCTAAATATAGGTAAATTGTAAAATTTCGTCGGAATATTTTGAATGCGGCAAATATAGGCTCTGCTAATATAGGCTCTATTTTCTCTTAGATTTTATTTACAATGTTTAGTTTGAAATAATCGTTCCTGGCAAACGCTTACCCCACTGTTGTCATGGTAACAATAGCCCACCAAAATCCTTCCCAGACTCCTTCCGTAAATTTCATTGGAAATTCGTCTGGATTCTTGAAATGATCCTGTGAGAATTGTAGTGTTAATAGACCAGCGTTTTTGAATTGCGTTGCCTTGTGTTTATTGCGTTCCGTTGCGTTGCGTTGCGTTGCGTTGTGTTTCATTGTGTTGTGTTTATTGCGTTCCTTTCCGTTGCGTTGTGTTTCGTTGTGTTTATTGCGTTTTATTGTGTTGCGTTTTTTATTGCGTTGTGTTTCATTGCGTTCTGTTGTGTTTCATTGCGTTCTGTTGTGTTTCATTGCGTTGCGTTGCGTTGTGTTCTATTGCATTGTGTTTTGCGTTCCGTTTAGTCTCATTGCGTTGCGTTTCATTGCGTTGCGTTTCATTGCGTTGCGTTTCATTGCGTTGCGTTTCATTGCGTTGCGTTGCGTTGTGTTCTATTGCATTGTGTTTTGCGTTCCGTTTAGTCTCATTGCGTTGCGTTTCATTGCGTTGCGTTTCATTGCGTTGCGTTGCGTTGTGTTCTATTGCATTGTGTTTTGCGTTCCGTTTAGTCTCATTGCGTTGCGTTTCATTGCGTTGCGTTTCATTGCGTTGCGTTGCGTTGTGTTCTATTGCATTGTGTTTTGCGTTCCGTTTAGTCTCATTGCGTTGCGTTTCATTGCGTTGCGTTTCATTGCGTTGCGTTGCGTTGTGTTCTATTGCATTGTGTTTTGCGTTCCGTTTAGTCTCATTGCGTTGCGTTTCATTGCGTTGCGTTTCATTGCGTTGCGTTGTGTTTTATTGCGTTGCGTTTTAATGCGTTATGTTTTGCGTTCCGTTTTGTTTGATTGCGTTGTGTTTCGTTGCGTTGCGTTCTATTGCGTTGCGTTGCGTTTAATTGCGTTCTCTTGTGATTTATTGCGTTGCGTTGTGTCACGGGCTTACCAATGTCCACATGAACATTCCAGACAATATGGCCGCGAGAACGATAAACAGCAGAATAGGCCAGGCCATCCCAACCGTCTGGAACAACTCAATTGTTCGTCCTCGGTTCTTATCGGTTTCCGGTACGACCAAAGTCGTCCTTGGCGCGACCAACAGAGGCACGACTGGCAAGGTTTTAAATTCCTTGATATCCATGCTTTGTAGTCCGATGGGAAACATTATATCTTCCGGAGACCCGTCCCATAAACTCTTCTCCAGTTCCTTGAGAG